ACAACAGGGAATTCCTAAGATGCAAAAGAGCTCCAGCTGATGGAAAGCTGACAGAAGTGGTTCATACACTAACCCATCCTTGATGCAGACAGTTTAGGAAGAAGAAAGCATAGAATTGGTTTGGCAGAGTAGAGGAGCATTGTGATTACCATATTTTCACACATATGACATACCTTTTTCCTTAACAATTAGCCCTCTAAAATTGGAGTGCATGTATAAGCAAGGAAACTCATTTCTTCACTGGAAAAGAAGCATGCCTGGACATATTGTGCAGGTCATGCAACTCCCAAGATGGCTGCCATTTGTGTCTAGCTCAGAGATGGAGGGATGGAGTCCTTTGTTAACCCTCTCACAGCCATAGCTCTTGGCAGAGCACTGTAACTTGTGCCTGAAGCATCACGTGAGTTTTTGGTAGCATCTTGATAAGGCTTGTTATTTACAGGAACTTATATAAAGAACTACTCACAGTAAAGAACTAACAGCCTTGTTACTGCCCTTGCAAGGGTCTGAGGTCTAACCTTGTGAGAGATGCAGTAAACCCCTTGAGAACATAGACTATTCAAGAAATGTGGCATTCTAGGAGACAGTCTGCCACACCTGGAAGTTCATGCTGCCTCACCAAACTGTGGGATACTTTCTGGGCAATCAATATTCCCAGGAGGACTTATTCTATGTCACATGGTCAGTCATGACTGGAAAACTATGTTTTTTCTGCATTTTGCCTACTGAAAACAAGATGCATGTTTTATTTGGGGGCATATTGTATGCAAGAAACTATGGTTTCTTTTAATGGTACAGGATCCATTAGTCTTGGCATCCATGGTATGTATAAGAACTGGCCCTCATTTGCTCTGCCTCTTGATAGAGCTTGTCACTGATGCTAAGAATCAGGGAGCTGCAATCAACTATATGATGACCGCATCTCTCTACTATGCCTCAAAAGAAACCAGCTGCAAGGGAGTAGCTAGCTTAGTGGTTCTTCCTGTCTGACAACACCATGTCTGAATTCAGTGAACTCATTAATTATAAGGTCAGAATGGATCATTCTTATAAATCTTTTGACCTCCTGCATAACATAGGCCATAGAATCTGCCATGGGAGAAAAGAGGAGGATCTTTCTGAAGGGACAGTTGATATGAGGAGAGGCCAAGACATAACATATGACTTTTAAAAGCAAAAGAAATTAATCGACAGAGTTTCAATGCAGAATTGTACACTGCAGTGCAGGATTCTAGAGTTGCTATGGAGATATCTGAAAATGTACCTTCCTTTTCCCTGCTTTTAAATAATTAGAGCTTTATCATTTCTTATAATAGCTATAGTTTAGCTTTAATCTTAAAGTAAGCAACATATTTAGTCTATTTTGTATTTCAGTTCATTACACAAACATACATAGTTTTGGAGACAGATTATCTATTAGGCTAGGTGGCACTTGTATAATGCGCCATAACGTTATAGTCTTTCATTTGGCTAAAGTACCCATTTTTAGACCTTTTGGAAGACTATAATTTCCCTTTCTAACTATCTATTACAATTTAAATTTACTGAGATTTATGTACCAGCATCATCTTTATGAACAAAAGCAATCACTACACATTTTTTTGGGAATTACCTTTATTTAATAGTTCTCATTTCTACTTGAAAAACATCTTAGGCACTTTTAAAGTGCAACTTTCTCTAAACTCATTCAAAATGTTACAGTCTAATATTGAAAATCAGAAATTATTTAGTAAGTTTATCTAACAATTGCATTTGCAATAGGAGGTTCATGACTGTGCACCATATTCTAAACTAATATAAATCCCTATGGCTGCACTGACATCAACATTCAATTGGCTGAAGTCATATGAAGTGGGTGGCTAACTGGCTTAGGGACCACACCCAGAGAGTGGTGGTGGATGGGTTGTTCTCAGCCTGGAAGAAGGTGGGCAGTGGGGTCCTGCAGGGTTCGGTGCTTGGACTGGTATTATTTAATATTTTCATCAGCGATTTGCATTAGGGTATGGAGACCACCCTCTCCAAGTTTGCAGATGATACCAAATTATGGGGCAAGGTTAACACACCGGAGGGCATGGAGCAGATACAGGCCGACTTGGACAGTTTGGATCAATAGGTGGAATGAAATAGGATGCAATTCAACAAAGATAAATGTAAGGTACTCCACCTAGGGAGGAGGAATCCCAAGTACACGTATAGGTTGAGGGATGACCTCCTCAGCAGCTCAGAGACTGAGAGAGATCTTGGAGTGATAGCTGACTCCAAGATGATCATAAGTCGGCAGTGTAACAAGACCATCAACAAGGCCAATCGCATCTTGTCGTGTATTAACAGATGCATGAACAACAGATCAAGGGTGGTGATGTTCCCCCTCTATGCGGCATTGGTCAGGCTGCAGTTGGAGTACTGAGTCCAGTTTTGGGCACCGCACTTCAAGAGGGACACGGAGGATCTGGAGAGGGTTCAGAGGAGGGCCACATGAATAGTGGCCTCCGTGAAAGACCCTATGAGGGGAGGCTGAGAGATCTGGATCTCTTCACCCTTCACAAGAGATGGCTGAGGGGAGAACTTGTAGTTTATCAAGGGAGGACAACAGGGAATTGGTGATGCACTATTTACCAGAGTGCCCCAGGGAGTAACTAGGAATAATGGGTACAAACTAGTTGAGAGTAGATTTAGGTTAGACATTAGGAAGAAATTTTTTACAGTAAGGGTGGCAAGAATCTGAAATGGGCTACCAAGAGAGATGGTACTATCACCTAATTTGGAGGTCTTCAAGAGGAGGCTTGACAATCACTTTGCTGGGGTCATCTGACTGTGGTCCTCTTTCCTGCCAGGGACAGGGGGCCAGACACGATGATCCACTGTAGTCCCTTCCGACTCTACAATCTATGAATCTATGAACCATTTTGATTTATACCAAGTGAGTATATGGGCAAAATACTAAAGAATCACTTAAAATATACAGGGCCACCTTTCTCTTCTCCCTTCCTGCCACCATTCAGTTCAGTGGATTTGGGGTTGAGGACAACCCACAGTATGATACTATATTTTGAGTATAAGATGGAAGTATAAAGTATCAATGACTATTTAATTCTGAATAAACTGAAAAAGACATGTCTGGATTCCATCAGTTTGGCAGATTAATAATATACTAGCAGTATGTTGAAATGTACTGTGACTTTCATAAATGTTGGCTGTTACTGGCTGTTTTCAATATCTCTGCTGGAAATCTCTGACAACACTGGATGAGAAGATATCCCTATAATCTCCAAAGAGTTTTTTGTTATATCACTAAGGAATAAAACATAATTAATTTAGTAATAAGGTTATGAAAAAATTTATAATGTAAGTAACAACCCCTATAGTTACCAAAGGTAAAAGTTGTCATGTCAGTCCTGTGATAACCACAGCTTATTTTGTTTCACTGAAGCTATGGAAAATATGCAAATTAACAGGGTGACTGATTAATTTACCCTTTGGGAATGCGTCAGCAGCCAATCTAAACTGTCTTGTAATTAAAGCCATGCAGACAATGTAAATAATATTCTTACAAACTTTCTGCATAGAAAACTTTCAACAGGTCTTTAGTCTTTGGCCTGACTTTAAATTCATAAAGTGACTAAATACTTTTAAGTTCATTAAATTGTAGTTCCTGCCAAGGACTTGCTGTTCAAATTCCCCCTCTGTCTGCACAGGTGGCATTACTGGCTGAAGCCTGTAACTATAACAGTACTAACTATTCATAGCTGAGGTAGCATAACATCACATGTCTATATTCCATAGCCTCAGCAAACCAGGAGGGGCAACAGTCTTAGGCTTGAATTTTTAGAAGTATAAGCACCCACAACTTGAAGTGAAGCCACTGAGAGCTGAGGATATTCAGCACTGCTTGAAAAAACCCCAGTATATAAAGCTTTTAACCTTTAGAGATTGTGGCCCTGTATTATTCTTAACATGGCCAGATACTTCTAAATATCCATTCCCAGCCAAATCTCCACTTTCTGGTAGTATTTTTATACAGATGGGTCCTTCATATATGCATAAATAGATGTGTGGTTTGAAGATCCTTGCTATATAGGAACTGGGTCTTCAGATCAATGCAACATGGAGTCTTCATCTCTGCCTGGGACTCTAAGACACTATTGCTATACATAGTAAATTATAATAAATTAATAATAAATGAAAACTGTATTTAAACTTCCAATGTCTGAAGCAGGATTAGGGATCCTTCAAGGCCTTAGATCTCCTGTGAAATTTCCTTGAAGGCCTTTCTGAGGCCCTGTGAAGTCTCTTGTATGATAGGATTCACAGGTGATCATCACCTGAGTATTCTTCATTATTGGCAGCTCAGCTTGAAATCCTGCAGTCTGATTTGCAGGGGTGGCTAGGAGCTGTACCTTGACATCATAGAATGGAATATATTACACTTTGTACTCTAAACTCTTCAAAATGAGGTTCTATGCACCTCGGATATAAAAAGTTAGTGGTCAAGACTACTTCTGACAGGGTGCATCTATACAACATGCAGACTGTGCAGTAGCCTGATACTACTGCGCAGTAGCATCGCATGGCACAAACCATGACATGACCCTACTGCGTCTTACAAAAAAAGGCATTCACTGGTGCTACTGTACAGTAACGCACTAACTTGTTTAGACAAGTACTAAATAAATGTGCATTAACAACTGTGCAGAAGTATCTCTGACGGACCGCTCCAGGAGGTTTCTGGCTGAGATGCAGGACCTCCACTTGATTCAGGAGGTGCACAGTCCCACCAGAAGAGATGCCCTGTTGGACCTAGTCCTGGCCGCAGGTGACGACCTGGTAAGGGGCCTCCAGGTTCTTGACCACCTGGGCAATAGTGATCATCGCTTGCTGGAATTCGCCATCCAGAGTAGGGTGTCAAGGGCCCGCAGCAAGGCGGTAGCCCTAGACTTCAGGAGGGCCAACTTCATTGAGATGAGGAGATTAGTGGGAGAGGCACTGGGGTCCTTGAGGGCAGAGGAACTCAGTGTCCAGGACGAGTGGTCGTTCCTTAAGGAAACGATACTCACGGCCCAAGGGGTGTCCATCCCGACAAGA